GACTGAGGGGTGAACTTTAAAGAACAATATTTTGTTGGTGTATTTGATGGAGATGCATTTTCTAAATATTGACATTTAGATTGTCTTGCTTATCTCAGGTGCTTGTCTTTACACACCCTGTACCTTCTGAAAATAGGTGGTGTTTTGTGATCATGTTACAGTATCTGATGGCAAAGCAAACTCATATAAAACAGCCACAATGACACAATTATGAATGTGCTTGATGTACCTCAGAGTCCAGCTCACATTTAGGTATCTGCTGTCTCCAGGGTGCTTTGGAGGGGACCAGCTGTAAATAATAAGTGTCAAGGAGCCACACAAATAAATGCTTCTGGCTGCTTCATGAGAACTTTTTTCCTATTCCATTTCAGCTTTAAAAAACTGAAATTTTCTTATTTCCTGAAAACTAGGGAGGGTTGTTGGAAATCTAAAATTTGCTGCTGTAAATTTCAATTTTGCAGATCCAGCCTTTATATTCAATGAACTTCCCATGCTGGTGGTATCAGTGATAGCATCTCAACATCTACATTTAAATACCAGCAAATGAATTGAGTAATTCACACAAGACAGAACATCTAATTGGTGCTGTTCATGCAGGTGGCATCCTGGCAAAGGCTTTGACCTTCAGCAGTTCCACCTGAGTCAGCTTTCTGGATCAAACCCAACATTTGAGTCAGCTTTCTAACCTGCCAGCAATTTTGAGAGGGCAAAAGTTTGAGGGGATTTAGTGTTTCTCTTTCCTGTTGTAATGTAAAGTACAAAACTCAACTGGTGGAGCTTAATTTCACCCTGAACAGCTAACCCCATCCAAGAGAAAAATACAGATCACAGCTGCAATTCTGTTTTAAACAATAGAATATTTGATAATGAATAGTAATTAAATTAAAAAGGGATAATATAAACTACCTTAATCTTGCTATGACTGACACTTCACTATAGAAGATGACTTGAGGACTATAGATTGTGTGGCTTTGAGATTGAGGCATGTTTAAAAAAACAAAAAAAAAAAAGAATTAAGACAATTCAAAGAGTGAAAAGAGAATTCTGAAATCCACATAAAGGCTATGGTTTTCTGTCTGCTTTACATTCTGGTTCCTTAAGTCTCTTTTTCTTCTCGCCTTTTTTTTTTTCTCCAGAAATATATCAAGGAAAATTTAAATTTTTTGAAGGTGTTTTTTGAACTTCCAACCCATCCTTGGTGCCAGAAAAGGAGCACCATGATATGAGACCCCAATACTAAACTGGAGCATTTTCTATAAACCTTATCTAAACCTGCAGAAAGCTTACCTAGACCTACAGAAACCAAAAGCTATTTTTTCTTATGAGGAAAAATAATTGTAAATCCTATGCATTGAAAACAGTTACATTTATCCCAGTTATGTCTTTGTGTATAGGGACACAGTGAGTTATTTGTGGGGTGGGTAAATAAGTAATCATTTTAGGATACATGGAGTTTTCCTGGTAGTTAAACAACATCTTACCTACTTGTCAGACACCAAATCCTCTCTCAGTAAATACAGTGCAGCCAGCTGTGCCATCTATGCATGCCCTATTCATTCCCCTTTAATGGTCAAAGTCTAAATCCTTCACTTCCTTCTCCACCACAAAGAACAGAAGTCACTTCTTACCTTTGTTACACAATAATTGAATCAATATATAACAGTAAATTTGTAATAGTGCCTTTGGGACTTGACCTTGTAAAGGGACAGTGTGCTCTAATGGTGTGATACCCCTCATGTGAAAGCTTGTCAGACAGCAAGGAAGATGCAAACAGCAAGATAGTGCATTCAGTCCTCCAGCACTTCATTAGCAAAGAAGCGTTCGAACATTCAAAGATGCAAAATGCTCTATACAATAGCATTTTGGGAAATCAGAGTACAGTCACCTCCCTCCTCACCTTCAGAAAAACATGAAATGAAGTGGCTGGATTTTGAGTTGCTAGGTTTAACAACAGAGTAGGAAGGAAGGGAGTTGTTTGCATACATGTGCTTTCACTAACAGTGTTTGCTCTGTTACAAGCCTGTCAAAGCAGGGTGTTTTTGTTGAACTGAGAATCTGAAAAGGGACTTCCATAAAAAATTTAACAGCAGACTCGTGTGTGTGTGTGTGTCTGTGTGCACAGTCAGTGACAGGAAGCAGCTAACTAAAAACTCTTAGGGCTGTTCTGTGTTGCAGAGAAAATATCTGTACCCAGTAGTGGCACAAGTCCATCTCAGACACCCATACACACACCTCCAGCCCTTGGTCAGAAACTACTCAATCAGTGAAATGGGGTCCTCAGGCTGTCACTGCACAGAACTGAAATCTTGGCTAGCCAGCCAGACAGGAGGGGAGGAACAGGAGATTTAATAACAGTGCAACACAAAGCAACACCTAAACCCCAGCAAACCCCAACACCACCTAGCAGGACAGATGGGCTAGAGGAGCAAGAACAGATTTGGATTTGTTATGCTGATTATTGGAAAGCTAAAAGAACAAACTTATCAACAACTGGAAGAGTTGTCCAGTAAATATCACCCCTTCCAATGCATCTTTACCCTACTGATTTCAAAGAAGCCCCATCCTTAGACATGCCAAAAAAAATCCATGTCCATTATGTCCATGAAGCTCCTGATGAGCTCACTAGTTTGCGTAAGAAAAACCTTCCATTTCTGCTCAAATGTCCCAACTCCCCTCAAAAATTGAAGAGAGTGGAATTAAATGTAACAGTGCAGTCCAGGAACTAATTAACTTTGGGGATTTCCTACAGAAAACATGAAAAGGGCTGAAAGTTTAGATGGCAGAAAAATCTCTCATCCATCCCAGTTGCAGCAAACATCAGTGGGGCACTTCTCAGTCCCCCAGGGAAGTGCCAGGCAGCAGAGGGTAATCCAAAACTGCCACCACCAGTGCCAGCCTGCAGGGTGGGAAGGAGGTGGCCGTGCCAGCAGCCAGCTCTCACAAAGCCCCTGTGTCTCACTGCTCGCTGCTGCAGGAGCTGGCTCCACAGCCCTGATGGGACTCTGCTGTGTCCCTGTGGGACACACTGATGTGCCACCATTCAGCTCACCATGGACTTCCTCACTGGTGTCATGGCATGGTGGGGACCTAACTTCAGCAGCTGCCATATCCCTGCTTTTCCTGACCTAAGCACAGGAGACTCTGGTCTGGCACTGAGTGTCACCAGTGGAACAGGCAGACTTCACCAGAAAAACAGGGTGAGCAGTCCTAAGAGCAATCAGGAAACAAAGCAAACTCCATCCTCAGCATTAGTTATGGGCTTCCTACGATGTTTTCTAGTATCAACTTCCTACATTCACAGCGTTTCCCACCTGCAGAGACTGCAGAACTCCTCAGACTATTTCCCAGGGGCCAGCCATGGTGGGCCCACAAACACTCAGGTGTTTCCAACATTATGACCCCAAACTCAGCTCTGGGCAAGAGTGGGAGACCTCATTCCTAGCAGAGTGAAAATGACTCAAAGCAGCTGTGGTGCCCTGCTGAAGTGCTCCTACAGCCACAGGGGCCAGGGCTGCCCATGAGGAACGGCTGAGTGTATGGGCTGGCACCAGGGCAGAACTTTAGGGAGCTGCTTCCAGCTGGCCCATGACCAACCCTCAGGCAAGTACAGGAGAAGTCGCTGTTACCTCAGTCCTAACTTCCTCTTTCCTCACTGTGAGCAAAACCTAAGCAACAATTGACTGCAATGGCACCTGCCCTGCTCCACAGCAGATCCAATTTAACGTTCCAACACTGCCCACTACGTGGGAGGGCCAGGCAAACATAAGGCTGCTGCACACATGTGTGGCAACACCAGACAGAACTCCACTATGATAACCTGCTGTGAATCCATGGAAGGTTTTGCACTCAGCCTTCAAATTTTGAGAGGGAGGTTGTTTAAGCACCTTAAGGCAAGATCCCAGCCCAGCCTGCAGTTCAGGAGGATACTGACAGCTCAAAATAACAATTTCACTCTTTCCTAGAAGAGTGAGAGATTACTGTTGTTTTGATTTGTGGTATGACTGGACTGCAGTAGAGGCGGTGGCATCTCCCCATTCTCTCAGACACGTTATGTGAAGGTGGGTCTCATCATTCTGGATTCAGGACATGATCAATACCCAGGGCAAACTGGGAAGATCGAGTCATTTTCTTTGTTATCCAGGAATTTTTTTTTTCCATCTGAATTGAAGCCCTTATGATTCCTATTGCAAGATAACCAAATGGGACCAGCAGAGAAATTAGGGAACATGATGTAACAGTTGTTTAGGATATGATCTAAAAGCCTTTTCTTGCCACAAAATTAAAAGCTGCCAAACCACAGGACAAAAACAGCTCAGAGCCTATTGTCTACTTTTCCTACACTGACAAGATGCTGATGATCGTCTCTCCATGGAAAAACAAGTCCAGAGAGTCACCCCTCAAACATGCTTTTTGTACTCCACTTCCCCCATTTCTATATTAATTTCCCCAAGTATGTCCTAAAAAACATCTACTTATGTACCATACCTTACATGGAAGCAATTAGTTTTATAAATTAACCACAAGGCACATTTAAATCTACATTGCACTTGTATCCAAATCATCACCACGTTGTGAGGGGTTTATTATTTATTATGATTTAACTACTACCAGCCTGTTTGGAAGGAAAACAACTCTCATAGTGGACCCAGTCATTCCATAAGTTATACTTAAGTTTCCTTCCTGTGAGTGAAAGAGCTGCAGTACAGCTGAATGTCAGATAAGAGGTTCTTATATGCAGCATTGAGCTCAAAAAAGATGAACCTTGAAGTGTTATTTTCAGGCAAGACATTGTTACATCTGACATCATCTTTATCAGAATGAATGTGTATCCTCCAAGATATATGCCAGGTAAATCTGGTGCTTCTCAAAGATTACAAAGATGGAAGGATTTCTTTCATTATCTACACATCTGTTCAAAAGTCTGAAGTTTCAGGCCTAGTCAGAAGGCAATATTAGTCATGGTTTCCCTGAACAAAATCTCCAACAAGAACTTCACTTACCAACATGCTGTGGTGGTCTGTGCTTGATGGACAGCGTCGATGTGAACAAGTGGCATCTCTAGCAAAGCAGCTTCCTAAGAATCATTAAAAAACATGGGTAAGAAAGTGCCTAACCAAAGTAAAAAATGCCTATTATCAGCATTTTGGCAGCCAACTCCTCCATAAGCACCTTCTTCTCTTTCCTTCCCAGGTAGCTCCAAAACCATCCTTGCCAGGTGTTTCTGCTTGAGTTTGTTTCAAGGCATCAACACACGGGGCTGATCTAGCAGCTTTCATCATTGATTTTTCTTGATTTATTGCTTACAAAAGATCTAGGATCAGACCCACACAGTGGGAAGCACAGCATTTTCCCTGCAGTCTGGAAACCCCCCAAGAATTTTGAAGCAGACACATCCTACACCCTAGTAACTCTTCCATAGTCACCCATGAGTCTCACAGAGATCCTTCAGTCAAAATTCTGCTTACAGACAGCAGGCATATCAGAGGGATTCATACTGTGGAACAGGAACCACTCATTCACCTCCTGCCCAGACTTCTCTTTTCCATGTACTCTTTCTACCTACATGAAAACGCTGTGCTTCAAATATATTTAAAAGAAACTTTGCTAGTACAACAGGACCTAATGCAGAAATACAAGATTGTCTTGATGTGGAAGAAGAGAATTAAAAGAATATGCTAGGTGCTAGTCACATCTCATCCAGGGATAAAGTAAATAGATCTCAGGTCATATATTGCTCTCTCATGCTCTTCTGCAGCCCTGAACTCTAAGTTTCAATAGCAATAACACTAAATTTTGGTCTCAGACCACAATTTTTCTGACAAAACATTGGCCAGCAATGTTTCTACAGATTTTCTACAAAAGCAGTATATGTTTTCAGAGAAGAACTAAAGGGGTCACTTGTTTAGATGTATTGAAACATTTTCAGTTCCTCTCTCTATCTAGAGGAGTAAAATTAATTTAACCAGTTATACTTATTCCATCCTTTAAATCAAACCCATCTATTAATTTCTCATGCTCTGTTCAATTGTGACCAAGTTAGACACAAGAAAAAGTTTAAAGCTACACAGTACACCTGAAAAACAAAGAGCCAACCCACCAGGGTTTTGACGAAATGCTTTTTCTGAATTTGTAGAAAATGTTCATGCCAGCTGGAACCACTTCTTTTTTTTCCAGGAACATTCTGTTTTGGTGCTGTTTTCTGCCTTGGAAAACTTCAGATCTGGACTGGCATCTCTGGTTACTTCCCTTGAGCCCAAGTGATCCTGTTCTGTTCTCTCTCCTTTTGTGAAATGATAGTGGTAGGTACCCAAACCAGACAGCTTTAGGTTCAGTTCAAGGATAGGATTAAATGTAGGTCTTCCATACCCTAGGGAAACAGTCCACTCGCTCCCTCTGGCTGTGGTTAATCAACCTCTCAGATTTCATGAAAAAAGAAAAAAAATAGTTTGGCCTTCACCATTGTGAATGAGAACATTACAGTTGCAAAAAGCCAAACAGTAAAGAAAACATTCCCCCAGCTCACGTTGTTCTACCAAAAAGCAGCATATGTACAACTGGAACTTAAAATGGTCTGCTGGTTTTTTCCTAAAAAAGGTCACAGAATCTGATAGCTTTAAAAACGGCTTATATAAGACCAGACTTACAAAACAAAATTTGAATGCACCCCAAGTATAAACGCCAGGTTTATAATAGCCATCATTATAATAAAAATCTTCCCAGTTGCTGGGTTTTCCTAATTAAAATATAAATTTTCTATAAACAGAGATGTAATTCCACAGGGCCCCAACCCCTTTTCTTCATGTCCCCTCCCACTCTTGGATTTGGTTTTTTTTCTTTCCATCGTAAATCAGGGAATCGGAGCGGCCGGCTCCCGAGGAATGCGCCTGGGATCTGGGGCTGTGCCGGAGAGGGTTTGCCTTCTGCCAAGGGGGAACCACCCACACGCTGCAAGAACGGCATGGGGCCCAGCCAGCATCTGAATGGCTCCGCTGCCACCCAGGGGAATGAAGTAAAGTGGACACAAACAGCTGGAAATGTTGCCAAAGTGTCAGGCTTCGAGTCCTCCAGAGCCTGTGGATTCTGTAATCCTTGTCTGCTGAAGTAGGGTTTCAATTTGCCTCTATTTGCTACTGGCTGGAAAAAAAAAAAACAAAACAAAAACTCGATGCAACACAGACCAAGATGTCACAACACTTTTGGTTATACCTCCCTGGTCACTCCCAAAGGACCTGGCCAACACCCACTGGGGGTGCAATCATGGCCTGGGATTTTTCAGAACCCTCTCTCACTTTTTCATGTTCCTTCCCCCCTGTCCCAGGATACTCTGAACGCTTGTCCATTAATACAAAGGAGCTATTGGACCCTGAGGAGCACATTTCTTCTGCCCAGAGAACACCTACAATCCTAAGCAAACTGTGCAACGGCACTGGGATTTAAGAGCAGGTGTCCAGCTGGAAAAGAGAAGGTGAAATTGCTGCTCTATATCAAGTGCACATTTATCTTTCTTGTGCACTGACTCATCCTCATAGACAAGCCCTGGTGTTACTGTAGTGAGTCATCAAAGTAACGTTATTTATAATCACTCTGCCTGATGTTTCAAAAACACACAAGACCTAAACCTTATTATAGCAATACCAAATGAGTTGATGGTCTCCCAAAGCTCATGCTTTGATTTGAAATTGAAGAGCATGACAGAGTTTTAAAGGAGAAATAGTCCTGTGAATAGTGAGCACTGAGGCTCAACCTCCAGATGAGATCATCGGCTGTCATTTAGGTCAAACTAAAGGTACAATTGATAAACAAACATTTCTGTGCATTGGCCATTTAGATAAACAGTACTGTGGTGTGAATGGATAAAACTGTGTCCCCTGAAAAGCTCTTCTGCTCAACCATCCTTGTCCCTCTTGTAACTGCAGGTTTTGGAGTTACAGGTTTGCAAACTAACAAAACCAGTTCCCGGACTCAGGCATGTATTTTAGATTTACTTGGTGCAAGCTGTTAGACTACAACTTTTCCCAACCTAGTGTACAGATGTGCAGAGATATTTATGTACCTCATATCCTATTTCAGGCAGTGCTGGATGGTCCCAGTCTGAAGGAAACATGATGTGTGTGAAGAAGCATCTGATTGACTGTTTGAAACAAGTTTGACCAAGACTAACTCAAGGGATTTCTACAAGAGAGCCTCCTGGTCATGTTTCAGGGACTGCCTCAGAAAACTTGTGTCTTTATATTCTGTATAAACTGTTCTCTCTAACAAGCTACAAATAAATGTCCATTGTTATAGTGCAGCTCTGCAGCAAGAGGCATCACACTGGGCTTTCAGCTAAGTGTCAGCTTTTCCTTCCTTGCTTGGCTATGTGCCTATAAACATGCCTAACAGTATGATAACCTAGACTTATCTAAAGAAATTACCAACAGCTCTTCAAGCATGATCCCTGCATTACCTCCCCTTACCACAGCCAAGCCATACTGGCCTCTTCAGGACAAAAAAATTAAAAAGAAAATGTTGTGGCACAAATTGTTCACATAACGCCTGCTGAGACCGTAAGAAATTATTAAAATTATCCTTTTCCTGAACTGGGAGAGGAATTGGAGAAGGAAAAGATCACCTAAACCACAACAGATTATCAACATCTGCATTTGCTCCCACCAGAACACTAATTTTCTTCTCTTTTACTTTTCTTGACTGTTCCTACAACACTGCACAAATTCCCCCTTACTCATATCTCTGCTTTTCCAGTTCCACTCTTCTGCCTGCTCTAGGCTACAGCATTCAAAAAACAGGATGTCAGCCTTATTCCCTGATCTTCCCAGCTCACCAGCAGGCTGCATGGCAAGCCAAAATGGTCTTCTCCAGGCTCTATTGGCTATGCGTGCCTCAGCTGGACCTGCTCTTTTCCACCTGGTCACCAGTACCAGCCTTAATAGAAGAATATAAAACACAACTCTAGAAATGTCATTACGGTGTTTTTCCACCTCCAGCAAACTTTTTTGAACAATCTCAGCCACGTAACTTGTCATCAGCAGGAAGTGGGAAGCTGCCCTGGCAGTCCCCAGGCCACTGGGATGTCTCAGTGCACTCCCCTTGCAGCATGCCTGCCACAGTGACAGCCTGCCAACGCTGTCAAACCCACCACCCAGCCTACCTGCACCCAGTCTACATCAGCAGATCAGTGAGTCACTCTGAAGCAGGAGAGGACTCAATAAACAGACATTATTTTCCACAGTCAGGAAAATAATGAGCATAACACCCCATACCTTTTCTTGTTCTGTTTCCTACTGCCACGTACTGCAGTGCTAGGACTTCTGCAGATTTTTATCACAGAATGAAGATTCAGGTGTGTCTGGACCATTTTTTGAAAGAGAAGATAAATGCACTATGAATGAGAAAGGAGGTTTGTGTTCCCTGGGAATGCTTCCCAGGAGAGCAGATGTCACTGTGAAACACAGGGGGATTAGCCTCCTGTGCTGCTCCTGCATCCAGCCCCTCCTCTGTTCCCTGCTTCTTCTGCTTCAGTCAGCAAGGAGGTATCTGTGCAGCCTTCTCCTGCTGTGGTGATTGCCTGAGGAGCTGATTATCCCAACTTCAGGTGTTCTTCCCTTCACGTAGAATCTGTCTCCAAAACCACCAAGCCTTAGAGGGTTGCTGACCTGACTTCCAACCAGCACAAGCTCTTCTTGTGGTGTTGAAAGAAGAGACCCTGTCCTCTGCGATCTTGTGATGATAGCACAGGAAAAACACTCACTGGCTGCCTGAAGTGCTGCCTGTGAAAGTTTTGGGGAGGATTGTGGGCATCTTTTTAACTGTGCCTCACTCCAAGTGGTGATGAAGAGCAAACATTTGGATCCCTTTATAGTGGTGTAAATGCTTATGACAAAACCAGACATCTCTGAGCTGCAGAATCCTTCTCCAGGCCTCTAGACTCTGCCTTACTCACACTACATATTTTCTGTTTTCCACTGATGTGATACAGCACCTCGTATTTCAATCCCCATTCCAGGTGCTCTCACTGTTTTGCTGCTTGCCAAAGATGCTCAGGAAAATTCCTGCCATTCCTCACAACCTGGCAGCTGGTGTTGCCCACCAGACAGCAGCACCAGATGATGCTTCAGAGGCTGGGGAAGCCCCGAGTCTGCAGAGGCCTCAGGAGCCTGGCAGTCTCTCCAGTGAATGCCAGATCCACCAGCTCCCATGCAGTGAGGTGCCCAGATTATGCTGGATGACTCAGGCTCAGCTTTATCACTGGGGAAGATGTAAGGATAAGAACTGCACACACTCACTCACAATAGCACAGTGATGGAGCAGAGCTATGAGAAGATAAAAGCCAGAAGGATCTGCTGAGGTAGTGCTTGGTCACCGTCTGAGCATTGATTCCCTGTTCTGCTTACAGCTCACTTGCCTTGATGAACTTCTCTTTATTTCCAGCTGCTGAACAAGGCCACCAGAGAAGCCATGCACTTCTTCCAGCCCCAGACCTGAGGAGGAACCTGTTGCTCCCTTGGACTTGTTTTAGAAGATACTATCGGGCAATGCACACCAGCTCCTTTAGACACCAATGACATATACACTTTTTACTGCTTTAATCAAGGCTGCCTTCCACAGCTTACAGCCTCCTTCAAATATAACATATCATGAGCAACCATCACTGCACACAACTTTTTTTAAGCTTTGCACAGGATGTATATGTACCAGAGAAATAATACAGTTCATAATTGGCTTAAGCTACTATTCTCCTTACCTTTATTTTTCCCTGTTCCTCTCCCTGGAGACAATAGTCACAGCAGTTTGGGGTGTGGAGTGAAGGAAAGAAGGTTTCTGCTTGGAAAATGCCTAACTGCATGGTACAGTAACACCCAAGGAAAAGCAGAGTCACCAGCATGTCATGCTCACTGTGCACCAGGATAAAAAGAATTCATATAGGAAGTCAAATTACAATGCATACAACAACCACCCACAATGTGTGTTCACAAGGGGGACACCATCTTGAATTATCCAGTTTCATTCCCTTCAACATGTATCCTTATTTCAGCCCTTTAATTCCTAATTACAAACATATAAGGAAGGCTCCCATATTACAATCTTAGCTCAGCATGTCATAATATCAAGGAGACAGACGTAAAAAGTCTCTACTTAGACTAGAGCCACCCGTTTTGATTAGTTCACAAAAACTTCTTCCATTTTCTTTATGTTTCAGTTCCTTCCCCTTCCCTTCTTCCAGTGTTAATAGATGCTGCCTGTACTCCATGAAATGTTCCCTCATTGCTTTCACATTCAAGCAAAAAAAGATTTTAAGTAGCATTTTGGAAGAAAAGCTGCATGGCAGTTAGTTCTCCCATAAGTATGTCAACAGGTAAGTACACAGATTTTTTTTTTTACCTTTGAAGTCTCTCTCATATTTCTGTGAATCCACTTGAAATTCAAAAATGTGCAGCTGAATCTGATACTGTGGCACCACATTTGCAGAAGTTATAAGGGCAGCACCTTGTTCTGGACAAAGGAGAGATATATTTGTTAGCAATTGTCTTTGGGTCACAAAGGTGTCACAGACAGGTTGGATTTAGCATCTATACATGTTACAGGGAGAAGACAGTGATTTAAACCAGTCATATCATAAGCTTATCTCTGAGCTGTATCAGGGTTCCCCTCATGTGTTTCATGGAATTTTAGAAATATTTAGAATAGAATTTTAGAAACTATTTTAGAATAGTTTGGGTTGGAAGGGACCATAAAGATCTAGTTCCAGTCCTCCTGCCATGAGCAGAAATACCTTCCACAGACTGCTCAAAAATTCTGTTCAATCTGACCTTGAACTGTTCCAGGGATGAGGCATCCACAGTTCCTCTGGGCAACCTGTGCCAGTGCCTCCCCACCCTCACAGTAAAGAATCTCTTCCTAACATCTAATTTAAGCTTACCCTCTTAAAGTTTAAAGCAGGTTGGAGGGTCTCTCTCATGTCCATCTCTTCTCTCTGTGTCCCCCAACCAAGGACCACTGGTGGCTGCAGTGCCACCTGATTACTCGTGCATTTCACCTCCCTTCACCCCTGCAGTGCCACTCTCCTTTCTCCCTGATGCCCTTCACCCTCCTCTGAGTGGTCTCAGGTGGAATAGAGGCTCCCCAGAAGAAGAAAGTGCAAATCCAGGCTCTGGAGCTATTTCCAACTGAGCTTATAGATGGCAATGGCTGGTTTGACAGTTTTGATGGGAAAAGCAGGTGATTTTCTGAGATTTGTTTTTCAGCATAAGTATGCAGAAAGTGAGCTCTTCTCACACATCAGAACTTTCAAATTGAAATGCATTTTCAACAAATTCCCAAGCCATCTGTAAAGGCAGCCTGTTTTCAGAGCTGTGTTTCCTAGGAGCATTGAGGAAAATCAGGAAAAAACGCAAAAATGTGTGATGTGACGAAGAAAGCACTGGGAGTATATCCACACCCCTTTTATTAAACAAAGCTAGCAGGTGCTAAGTTCAAAGCAAGGCAAAGGAGAGCCTCCCTCAAGCAATATCCCGTTCAGCTGTGGGAATATTTGCTACAAGATGTTGCAGAGGGTAAAATTGTATACAGATTTAAAAAGTGATGGAATAATTACCGAAATAAAGCCACATCCAGGGTTATTACGTATATAGATACCAACTCTGGGGCAGGAGATCTCCAAGCCAAAATTTGCTGCAGGCAGGCAGAGGAGTATGGAAAAGTATCGCTACGAGTCTGCCTTGAGCTCCTAATTTTGTTTGGGCACCTTTATCATCCAGTGATAGGGACGGGCTCTGGTACACCTCTTGTGCTGATATGATACAGCCTTTCCTACATTGTGGGGTAAGAAGAGCAGGAAGGGAGTGATGGGGAGATTTGTTCTCTGTATTCAACCCAGGAATTGTTAAATCGGGCAGCTTTCCACCCTGCCCACGGAGCAGGCGCCGGCGATGGGCAGGTAGTGCAGAAGGATGGAAGCAATGAAAGAGGCAGATGATGTGGCAGTGCCAAAAGCACGGGCAGCATCCCCGCGGCGTTCCGGTGCGCCCCGCCTCACACACCCACCGCAGCCCTGCCTGCTGCGGGCCCCGCTCCGCACTAAGCCGCACCTCCTGCTCAGCAGCAGCGATTAAACCGCGACTTTCTGGGCACGGGGCGCTGACCTGACTGCGGTGCAGATGCCCATGAGGGACGGGACCCCGAAAATGCTGCGCTGCTGCCGGCTCGCCCCGCACGCCCTCAGCCGCCCCCGCCCTCAGCGGGGCTGGGCCGGCTCCTCCGGGCGGGCACCGCCACCTAGGGACGGGGACACGGCTCCGGCAGGGCTGGGAAACCTCCCCTCAGCGCCCCGAGGGCTCCTTCTTCACCCTGGGAACTTCACCTCACCTTTTTGGGGCACGCGTGGTTTGTGTTCTCCTTTCATCATGCCATTTCTCCACTCTCGGTGTCAATCGCGGTGACTCTGAAGACGCACATCAAAACCTGTGTGAGAGCCGAAGAACAGATCGTCACCTTGTTTTGCCCTGTTTCAAGGAGCTCTTTGTTTCTGGGAGATATCCAGGCCAAAAGTTCTAGGGACCCGGCACAGCCAGTCCTGCAGCCACGTTCAGGGCTTCCCAAAACCACCCTCAGCTCCCATCCTGTACATCTCCTTCTTACACCAACATCTGCACTTATCCTTGTGCCTGCTTAGCAGAGAATCCCCTTCTTTCCACACTCCCCTCCATGCTCCTGTAGTACTGACTGCTTAAAATCAGTGAAGAGCTTTTCACCCCTTTTGTGTCCTGGCCTGCAAGCCTTGCCCGTGCAGGACATCCCACCTGCATTAGAGATCAAGCAAACAGATACTTCACCTTTGAGGTTGATCTCATACTTCCAATAATCTGTTTGAAACTGGAGAGTGCCAGTCTGGTCAGCCTGAATTGCCTTCTCTGACTGTATAGAGGTTAAAACAGGAGCACAGTAGTTTGGAGACTTACGGAAGAAAAAAAAAAAAGGTAATTATCCATCAGAAAAAAAAAAATTGCTTAAAGGACCTGCAGAACAAGGTTTTATTTGCTAACGAGGTGTAATTGCCTACGACTTGGAGTTTCCCAGTGCATCCAGCTGAACCCCATCTCCCATCAGAAGCTGTTTCCTGGACACTGCTCCCTCCTCATCACAGCACACATGGTTGGGGACCGGTGGGATGGTGCATCCCCCGAGTCCCATACACCTCTGCAGTCTCTGATACTTGCTACCTTCTTCTCCTGTTCCAGACAGGATTAGAGAACATCACCACAGCTCCCAAAATGGTCTCCAAATGATCCAACTGCCAGCACATAGGAGAGCTTTCTGACACTGTTTTCTGCTGTAAGTTAGAATTTGCAAAAGGAAAGAGCACTTTCCTCATAGATGCATACACAACATATTTTTAAAAAATAATTAAAGAAATGTTGGAAGGCTCTGGTTTGGTTAAGAAAATAAACAACTTTCAGGTCTCAGCTTCTGACAGTCCTCTCATGAGTGGATATAAGTGATATATAAATGAAATTATGAGATGCTGCAGAACAGATCAAAATGCGTGTGGGGAGTCTCTGAGGCAAGACACAAGACGTGCAGAGAGCACACGGACAGGGGGGGAGAAGAAAAAGATTATCAGTTTGCTTAACAGTAGTCTTGAGAGGGAAACCCAAACTCTGTTCAGCCTCCAAATCCTTAGGGAAGAAAACAAGTCCTAAAAGGTTCGGATTTTCTTTTTGCCTGTGCTCAAACCCAGGCATGCCATTTTCTGCCCTCTGAGTGTGCCAGCTCACAGAACAGGCACTGAGCAGACACCTGAGCTTGGTTAGTTAACAATAGAATTATTTGGTTGTTATCCATGTTTTACCTGTAGAAGTCAATATTTCTGAACTTGCCTAATAAAAAGTCAAGTTTTTATTTAAAGTTCCCTAATAAAACCTCCACAAGTGTGGGAATAGACCACCTGGCTATCCATTCCATGTAGCTCATACCAGTGCAAAGAACTGCTCCTCTTGATGAACAGCTTTCACAATCATCTTGAATTAACAGTCATTAGAGGATTATGTTAATTTTTATGTTGGTTGATGGCATTTAGATAGAGAAGAGTCCTGCAAGTTGTCTTCCCAGTTATATAATGCAGCTTTTTTACTTATGAGTGTCATTAATTATGTTTCAGCTCAGGAAACTGCCTAGATGCCACATGTTTACAGGAACAAGTAGAACTGAAAGTTGAGGGGAAGAAGAGAAAAACAATCCAAAGGTCAATCTGAGAAGGAAAAGAAAAGCCAGTGATCAGGACATGTCATTGAGTTACTCAGACTGTTCAGGCATAGCAGCAGGTGGAGAAGATCCTGATAGGAAAACTGTATTTTGATAGCACTGTCTCAAAGTTTAGGTTTAGTTAGTAGCCTACAGTGATACTAATCACATTTCTGACTAAGGAAATGTACAGAGGACACTTTGTTAGTAAGGAATTTGACTTGCTCAGTGAAAAAAAACCCAACCAAACTAACCAACAAACAAACTCCACAAAACAAACAAACAAACAAAAAAAGGGGATTTTTTAAGACATTAGGATTGACTGTGAGGACCTTCATTCAAATAATTTATGTGAAGGCAGAGGTTATATCACTGCTAAAATGAGGTCATATTGTATGAGAATCAAAGAGGAAAAAGGATCTGAAAAGACTCTGAGAAGAACTTGCTCGAGCTGAAAGCAAAACAAAGGTCAGCTGGCTTTCAGGACAGTAGAATGGATCACAGCTTGAGGTGGACACTATAGAACATAGTAAAAAAACCCCATAAACCTTCAGGATTTTTTAACAGAAACGCAAACTGGAAGTTGCAAGGGTCTATCTGCAAAAGGCAGTCAGAAGGAGCCTGCAAGCAGCAAGAATGAAAGGGTGCACAAATTGTCTAAGCAGAGACCAATGTGACTTCCAACACCTCCTTCGGAGTTAGTAAAAGGAAAATGATATTGAAAAGAAAATACAGTTAAGGAGAACAAAACTGAAGATACAGACCAAGAAAAATTATTTGCAGAACACAAACTAAAATAAAACTTCTTTTTGGGAGTGAGTAAAGACAAAGCTTCCTCCAGGGGTGGGGATATCACGTGTAGACATTTCCCAAGCATTTCTAAGTTGAACACTGGCACACCAATTAATGGGCCCTCTGACATCGCTGGAAACCATCTGGAAGGGAAATCTAAGCTTATTAAGAACAGATGGATAAGAACCAGGTCAGCCTTCCCTATTGCTCCTATTTGTAAGCTATATGTAAAAATAACCTTGTAAAGACAGTTTGAGCTGCTCTGGGAAATCATGCCTAGGACTCAACATGCCAGACAACAGGCACTGAAAAAGAACAGGAACAACCAGAAAAAGCTCTTGCCTGAGATCTGTCTCCTACAGGCCCCTAACTAAAGACTCCTGCCCTTCCCCAAACCCTCAGCCCCCATCATTACCACACTGATCTGGGTCCATTATTCCCTCAATCTAGAAACAGCCTTGTTAAATAATGCAATTGTTGAGCATGTCATGCCAAGAACAATATCTGTGTTTTCTTCACCTGGCACCCATACAGTTGTCATGCCAGGTTATGGGGCTCAAGTTGATTTTTAACAGTTTGAATGTTTTGGAAAATAATATGTCATTCAGCACATTCAATCAAGCATTAGGTTTCTGCAGTTTAATCATCCTGTAATAAATTCTGTCAAAATTGTTAAAAGGTTTCTTAAAAATACTAAGAAGTCAAACTCGGCACCAGTAAATGAAAAGAAAGCCTGAAAACTTGCTGAGGTGTTATTTAATAGAAAGCCTACACCAGTTGCATGAATATGTAACCAACTGTGTTAAAGCTTAGCATGCTGCAAAGCCCTAAGAGAACCACAATAAAATCAATTAGAAGTACATTATGATGAAGAGATCACTTGAGCTCACATCCTTGCAGGCAAAGACAGTACATTTGAACATACAGAAAAAAAATACATTATTTATATGAGTACAAAATGCATCCATTGACCCTTATGAATAGTTGCTGGTTCCTGAAAAGTAATTGCTAAAGAAATTACTGGAGAAGCTGCTGATGGTGACTGTGAAACTGTTAATCACATGCACGAGTCAGAAACAATTTAACCCTTTCTCAACAGATCTTAATTTTTTTCAGGGGGGAAAAGAAGTGAATGAAAATCCAATAGATTCATGCTTGGTGCCTGCCAGCTAGTGGACATGTTGCTGACAATTTGCAAGCATTTCTTATCTAAAAGGGTGCTGAGGAATGCTTTCTGCTTAGTACTTTGAAGGCACCCACATACTCCAGAGGCAGCCAGAGGTTCAGGTTGGGAAGAAGATTTAGCAAATCTAGGATCCTGAGCAAAAGTCCCACAAAGAAATATTCATAGATTAAGTTGCTTTTCACTTTACTAGCAGCTTTTGCTCTCAGTGCCTCACTGGCTGAAATATTCCCGAGTCTTTTAGCTCTAGATTCCCAGATGTGCTTGGGCTAGAGGTTCAGGATCATCTTAAACCAGTTAAAAATCATGCTGCAGCCTGCTCAGCTCTCTGTTGGTGCCGACACAAGCAGAACTGGAAATCGCTCATGCTCATCACCGTATTTTGGCTTTGGGTTTTGTGGGGGTTTTGGCTAGGTCAGTTTTCAAGCAAGTGAATTCCCTGCATCTGCTCCCCTCCATCCAGCAGTAGCATGGAAGAAACAGCAGCAGCACCCACCTGGAGACAGGAATGTTCCTTTGGGCAGTAGCACAAAGGGAGAGTTCCAGAGTGTGACCCTGAAAGAGTGTGGGCTCCTTAAGGAGAACTCCCATATCAGATCTGGTACTCCAGCACCTCAGAGCCCAGAGCAGTGCCACACCACTGCACACTGTTACAGCTGCTCCCACCAGATCCTGCCTGATCTTCTCGATATAACACCCAGCACCTAATTCTGGAGGCTGTGAGGAACTCTCCCTGTAGTCAGAAATAGTTCTGACTTACTGGATAATCTTATTTTTCTTCCAAACTGTGCATGTTTGCACCTGTCCTCTGTTCTATGCCTGGTGTCCTCTTTTTCAGATCAACAGCCCCCCTTTTTCCTGTGGCTAGCCTGCTTCTCAGCAGGATTTTCCTTACCTTCTCCTGCCTCTGATGATTTTGGTAATCCTGCTCTGAAACCCACCTGGCTGGAAATAACTTTCTCCCTCATGATGGGTGGTTTCTTCTGTCATGGAGGAGAAGAATGGAGGAAGATGATTTATACCCGGGCATCATTCTACAGAGTATTTTGTATAATAGCAAAACTCTCCCCAAACCCTCCAGCTCCCAGCCCCTGTCCTGCCCAAAGGCTGCACATCCAAGCCTCCTTAAGCTGATGAAGCCATGGAGGAGATCTGTGGAATGTTGCAAGGACCAATGCAGGGTGACAGCTGAAAATGGTCACTGTTCAGTCCCTTCCCATCCATTTTAAGTTACTTCAAGTGACTTTCATTTTCACTTCCTGACTGCGTGGAAAGTTCTCTGCTCACCTGTGACTGACAAGACTAGATCACTAATTTGCAAAAGAACAATCTTTAGCCTTCTGCAAATGCAGTGAGACACAGAAGTGCATGAATTAGTGCAGCTTAGGCACTTATTGCAGTCACCTGTCTTTCAAAATTCTCTAAAGGCACTGACTGTGCCTGAAGATGGCAGCTTTAGGAAAGCTGATAGGATCCTACACACAGCCCTCCTCTTGGTTCCTCCCAGCTATGGCACACACAAGTGAGCCACTTGTGACTCCTCTGCAGAATTACAACTTACACATCACGACTGTTTTAAAATAAACCATTCATTTTTGTTTCCATGCTATCACTCATCCCAAAAGTTATCTATCCCATAATGCACCAAGTTTCAAGTACTATGACCACAATTCAAGCTTTCCCCACCACCCAGCCTAGCTGGAGCACATACCAGTGGGGCACTTCTCCACCATCAGAAGTGCCAGGCAGCAGAGGGTAATCCAAAACAGCCACCACCAGTGCCAGCCTGCAGGGTGGGAAGGAGGTGGCCATGCCAGCAGCCAGCTCTCACAAAGCCCCTGTGTCTCACTGCTCGCTGCTGCAGGAGCTGGCTCCACAGCCCTGGTGGGACTCTGCTGTGTGCCACCATTCAGCTCACCATGGACTTCCTCACTGGTGTCACGGCATGGTGGGGATCTAACTTCAGCAGCTGCCATATCCCTGCTTTTTTGACCTAAATCCAGTGGGGACAGAGGAAGGACAGGGTGCCACAGAGACATGACAGGCTTGACACAGCAGAACAAGGTAAGAAGAAATGTCAGCAGTGTGACCAGGAAACAAAGCTAAGTTCTTTGCCCACATTAATTACAAAGACTTCAGGATGCAGGAGCTTCTTACCATTCTTCCCTTTCTTCAAAGGTAGGCCATGATTTGTCTCTTGAGCACCATGGTGTAGGTACTTTCACTTTTCTTCTTCCACATTCCCTTCCCAGTCTCCCTTTGGCATATCAGCACCATCACAGGCAGGAATCAACCCCAGGTGACCATATCAGTGGATCAAGGTCATTTTAACTCAGCAGGTGCCACTGCATTATGCTATGCAAGGCAGGTACATCCCCATTCCAGCCTGAAGATAGGGTGAATGCTAAAGCTTGCCACTGCTTCTGGGGAAAGAATAGCTCCTAACAAAAAAACTATGCCCCCAAAACAATCAGGGGATTGATACTGGTTCGCTGCATTACAAAGTGTTCTAAAGCTACGACTAAAATTGAACAAACATTTTCTTAAAATTGTACCGAAGAGTAATTTATTCAGTGTGAATTCAAAAGACATTCCACCATTCATTACAGGACCACACAGCTGCTCTCAAGGCTGTACTCCAAGACATAGGCAGGGTAAATTTGCTGCTTCTCAAAGATGACAAAGATGGAAGGGTCTGTCGGGTCATCCACGCAGCTGTCATAAAGTCTGTTTGAATTTTCGTCCCTGGGCGGAGGGCGGCAGTACTCAGGGCTCCCCCGCACAAAGTCCCCAACGAGAACCTGAGCTACGAACATGTTGTAGCGCCCGCCGAGAGAGGAACAGTACTCATGGGAATAGCTGGCATCTCTGGCAAAGTAGCTTCCTAGGGAGCAGAAAATGCCACAGGTCAGGCAATACACCAGCCAAGGGACAAACATGTGCTAACAGCACCTTGGCAGCCAGCAATCCAACAACCCCAGCTAGCCTGACAGTGTGTGGGAACATTCTTGCCAGGTATTCCCACAGTGGCTTATTGTGAAGTACTGACAAACTCCAGTCCACATTTCACCATCAGCCTGCCAGTCCCACCTGTCCAAGAGCAGGTACCTGAGGCAAAGAGAGGTGTTTTTTGCCCTTCATGGGATGGGATTTCTGCTGTGAGTGCTACCTAAAGCAATGCAGATATATATACAGCTGAGAGTGCCCTATGGGCAGGAGTACATGGGTCAGGAACCATCACTCACTTCATAACACACATCCCCCAGCCTGGCTGGGGTCTGCAGTCCCTGATGCTACAGTCCCTACACCCTTCTGCACTTGTACCTTTTCCATACATTGTCCCATGAGTTCCACAGAGTCTCCAGTCAAAGTTCTGCTCACAGATGGCAGACACATGGGATGGACTCGTGCCATGGAACAGGAGCCTCTCGTTCACCCCTTTCAATTGATGGAGCTTCTTCATCTTTTCTTTTTGCCTAGAGACAACAACAACAAAAAAAGAGAACTACTTGTTTTCCTGGTTCAAACAAGGAAAATTTCCCAACTCAACTCCTCCTACTTCTGGGTCACGGAGGAACAGTGACACAAGCCACTCTCAGTGGAGTTACTGCCAGCTTTGCACTTCTGCTGGTACCCTGCTGCACAGCTGGCTCCTGCCAGCAAAACAAAAAGTTCTCAGCAGCACTATGGACTGTGTCACCCACAACTTCACACCACGTGAGAGAGTAAAGAGACAAACATCTCTTGACTAGGAATTGGTCAGTTCCCATGTTACATAAATCCTGAATACATAAATATCATTATAAAACTGAGCTGTATGAAGCCACAGTGAAGATTTTTTTTTCCTGTCTCCTATGTGGAAGAGGCTAAAACCAAAAGAATAAACCTGAAACACCAAAGCTCAGTTATGATGAAGGAAAGGAATTTACTTTTTGAATAACACTAGCAAGAATCACATACATATCTTGCTAGGGATAAAGGGCTCATTTCTACACACACAAAAGAACACAGATGCAATGCTAACAACTCAGTCACAGAGAGAGCAGCCCCAGTCCCCTTCCAGGACTGTCCCAGAGAAGCCTCAGAGAGCCAGGTTTTGGGGCAGTCATTAAGTCTGAGCCACCAGCCAGACCTGGGCAGAGAGATATGTGGCAGCCTCACCTCTGCTGGACTGCTGAATTTGGCAGCTCCAAATGTAGACTATGGAGGGCAACAGATCAGGAAATACCAGTCTTCTCATACAGTAAGGATAATGAAATAAAATAGATACAAACCACTGAAAAATGTCCCAAAGTGTTGGATTCTGAATCCTCTGCAGTTGGTTGATGCAGTAATTTTTCATTGTCTTCTGAAACAGACTCTTGATTTTTCTATATTCTTGGGAATCACTGCTGAGCTGTATCAACTGAAAATTTTTAAAGCACTAAAAATAAGGTATTACTGAGAGTAACAACTCCAGTCCTTCCAAAGGACTCATCAACCTCCTCACATCTGCTGAAAATCCCTACCACAAAAATCACAAGCTTCTTCAATTTTTCCTATTAACCCTCCTTTACCGTCATTCCCCAAATGGAAGCACAGGCACCGGCTGAGAGAAACCAGTGCACCCCCATATGAGTTTCCTTTTGAGGATGAACCTCCACATCTGGACTACTTATAGCTCAGAGTAACCTAAAGTTGAAATGCACAGCAGCATTCAGGCTGAAGCAGAGTGAAAGTTTCACCTTAATCTGACACTCTAGCACCTTCCCTACAGGGCTATGTTGCAGTTTTACCACAGCAAATAACATCCTGCCCCAAACTGACAGAGGAAATACCACCTTAAGATCCAATTAATCTGGTTTATCAGGGGATGAAGTGCCTTGGGAGAGTGCAAAGGACAGGTATGAGGAGCAATGGCCTTTCCTACCCTGTGTGGTATCATAGGGGAGATAACACCACATCACTCTCAGAGAGCCTCCCAGGAAATGCACGTCTGTTCTGAATATGAAACTGTCAGTCTTGTCTCACATCATAGCTGCTTATTTTAAAAGCTGGTAACATCTCAATTGCCTTGAATTATGCTCTTGGAAAAATCAGTGCAGGAGAAAGCTCTACCCACCCTCTGGAGACCTGGAAAGTCCTACCTTGTACCCGATATCAGGTAATGCAGTTTGGTCCCACTGTGGAGGATAGACAGGATGTGACAGAGTCATGTTTTGGCTACAGAATAGAAAAAGGAGCCAGTCAGCTGGTGATACTCTTAACCAACTCCCCTTCTGGGGAATCTAACCACAGGCTCCAAAGCAGTCCTCAGGCATCCATTCGTGAGCTATAGTTTGTTTTCTTTTTGAATGAACACACCTCTGGTTGAACCAACACTTGAATTGAACCCTCAGCTTCCCATGCGCTGTCTGCTGGTGAGTTTCTAAAGCAGAGACAGCTCTTACTATAATAAATCAGTAGCACAAATAACATTTATAGCAGATGTGCTCAAATTCTGTTAAGATGAACTTCTGTTAGAAAAAGCCATGAGATAGGGTATCTCAAGTAAGTGCCTGTAATTCACTTAATTTCAGTGGATTTTCCTGTTATGATTTTTAGTTTATCCTCAGCTTTCCAAGAGATGACATCCACATGCATCACAGCTCTTGGGATTGGCAGCTTCTTGCTCCTAATCGCTGCACAGTTATTTATTAGTGCTGGGGCATAAATCAAGGAATAAAAATTCCCGGCACAGTTGTGTCAGCCTTGTGTGGCAGATCTGCTCTAGTGGTTTTTCACAGCTGCCAGAGACTGCCAGCAAACATCCCTCCAGAGAGTTTTACAGAAGCGTTGCATAATTTACAAATACTGTCACTCCAAATTGTACTGTTAAACCAGTCAGGAAAAGGTATCTAAAAATTAATTTAAGAAATATAAAATTGCATTCTAGGCAGGTAGGAGGAACTTCTTAGCAGAAAGGTGCTGTCCTCTAGAGACATTGCTAAACAATGAATGTGTATTACCTTCCATCTTGTCCATCTTCAGACTGCCTAGGCAGTCGAATAACACTTCTTTGAGTGTTAAAGAGCACGTTTGTTTGGACCATGTCTTGAAAGAAAAACACAATAACTCAATAAGGAGATAATTCATTGTCTAGGGACAGGCTCTTCCACGTTAAGTAAAAATAAAAGAGAAGGTAGCCCTGAATATTGCATTGTGGTGCCCTCTCTATCCCACCCAACCAGTGCAAACTTCATTCCCACTTGCACTGCTCCTACTTGGAGATCAGCAAGGTCAACCACCTGCTAGCACAGGCTGTGAAACTTGAAGACAACCAAGCACCAACTGCACCTGCACTGGTATTCACATCCAGGCTGCTGGCCAGAGAAAACCACATCAGATGGAAGGCCTACAGCAAGAAAGAGTTTTCAGTGTAATGGGGGCCACAAACCTGGCTTTCCTGGCAGCACAGGGCTGCTCCATGGTGCTAAAAGCAAAGTCTGCCCTCCCTTCTTGGTCCTGTAACAATATCACAGAGTAGATGCTGGGTGACATGGCTAATTATCCATTGTTTCCTCCTTTAAACACCACTCTTTACTCGTTCCAGGAAACATTTAAAGTTTGGAAAGCTAACAGGAGTTTTAAGACGAGTAAATAAATTAGAAACAGAAAAGCATTTTTCATTTTCCCATTTCTCTCTCTATGTAACCAGCCCTGAATTTTTGTTTGCTGCACTGTGCTTTCTCTCCCTGTAAGTAGCTTGCAAGATGTTCACAAAAGGCTCACTTCTTCACCTTTTGACTTTTCAGTGCCTTTTTTTTTTTTTCCCCTTCCTGATTTCTAATTCTTCCTTTTCAGATGTATAAACACAAATGTATAAGCCAAGGTGCCGTGAAGCAATTACTGTCAACTCTTCTTCTGAATGTACAATATTGTCAGGTATGTTTTTTTGACTATAGATGCCCAAGTACAGAAGCTCAAGTGGGGCATCTCAAAATATTAGAGAAATTTACCTACTGCTCAATTTCTGCTTGGAGAAAATTTACAGGAGGAAAAAGAGCTGTTCAAAGAGATGCAGTTATGGTGTGAAAACCTTCAAGCAAGCTGCACTGTGCAATGAACTTCAAACAAGGAGATACTTCACCTGCAAAGTCTAACTTATACTGCTGAGAATCAGCCCTGAAAATAATAACACCATTCTTGTCAGCTTGATATTCATTCTCCAGAAATGCAGATGTTACAGTGGCAGTGACATGACCTGGGTGCTGCAGAAAGAACAAGGAAATTATACCTGTTAGAAACCACCTTTGGTTTAGGTGTCACTGTGGGGAAATATCAATGCTTCCCCAGGCCCCTATGACAGGAGGATGCTTGAAGTAAGTCTCTATGGCTTCAAGCACTTTGTTCTACAGAGATGGAGGGGGTACCCCACCGAGCACAGCTGCTTCTAACAGCAGCAACAAAGCAGCCCTCAGCCTGTGTGGTCAGCTCCAGACAAATAATGTTTGTCAGCTCTGGAAAATGCACCCACTTCCCAAGCCAGACCCTTGAAAGCTTTCACAGAATTCCAGTCCTCTTTTGAGGGACAATTAAGAAGACAATTCCACCCAGGCATTGGAGCAGCACTGCTAGGGCACCCAGCGGCGCATGTAGAACACACCAGCTGCAGAACAACACACTCTAAAGAACTCTCCAAAGATGTCTTAACAAAAGCTTTTGGCATGAACAGCAGATGAATTTCACCTCTTTCCCATACTCAATCCACTGGTTGGAATCATCGAGCCAACACCAGACATACTCCATTTTCAGGAGCAAACAGATGAGTCGGGAGACAACACAAGTGCAGAAGAGCTGATGGGCACCTGGCTGCTTGCTCTGCCCTGCATTGGAAAAGAAATCCAGATCAAAGTAGGGGTCTTTTCCAAAGCTGTCAAATTGTGCAGTATCCCTGGTCTGATCAGAAATCTATTCACTTCTCAAAAAAAGAGACCCCCTCCAGCTGGGAAGTGCAGGTTTGCTCCAGTACTGAGGAATTGGTGTTTATGGTACATGGTAAGCGCCATATGAAGAAATGACCCTGCTGACCTCTCTGGCTTGGACCTGTGCCACTGATTTTCCCTAAAATCTATCTTCCTAAAAAACACAGAAAATACACTTGACACCAAGATTCCCCTGCAGCCCACAGAGATGGCCATGGTGAGAGATAGCTGTGCCCCCTCCCCATGGAGCAGAGAGCCACACTGCAGCCCATGCAGAAGGCCATGCTGCAGCACGTGGACAGGCCCTGAGGGAAGCTGCAGTCCACGGAGAAGAACCCGTGCTAGAGCACGTTTATGCTGAAGGACTGCAGCCCATGGGAAATGAACATTTTTGAGAATGATGGAGGAATAGATGGCAAGTCTCACAGACTGAGGACAACATCCATTTCCCTTCCCCTCTGCGCTGCTTTGGTAGGAAAGGGTAGAAAAGTCAGGAATGAAGGAGTGAGGCTGAACCTGGGAATCCATGGAGAGGGGGAATAATTTTATTTTCTCACAATTTAAACCTATTTGAATTGGCAATAAATTAACTTCCCCCAAGTCAAGTCTGTCTTCCCCAATGTTCACCTTGACTTTATCTCAGCTCATGAACTTTCCCATCTTATTTTGTCCCTGCTGTCCTGTTGAGGATAGGGAGCGAGAAAGTAGCTTTCACTTGGAGGAGGGGGTATCATTACTTACCAGCAAAGTGTCTATTCTGCACTCTATCCTAGACACAGCACCTACAAAAAGAAGAAAATGAAACAGGTAGCCACCAATAATGCCAGCTCATGGGATTTTACTTTGCTTCCTGCTGTGCTTCACCCTCCATTTAATCTCCCAGTTTTGGACCCAGACAACACTTTTTAAATGTCTCAACAATTTACTGCCCCTACAAAATCCCCTATCATGGATCACATATCCATAGCCAAAAGCTGCCAGCAGTTGAGCTTCCAAGGGTCTGTGACAGAGCTATTCTGAGCTGCCTGAAGAATCTGAACACGGTATTGAAACAGAAACTGGAAATGATCATGTATCCAGCTCTGACGCCCTTTGTACTTTGGCAGGGATGGAGGGTATTTAGAGCAGGCCAATGAGAGGAAATCCTTACAGCAGCAGCTCCCTCATAGAGCTGTTTACAGTGCAAAGGTCCACAAAACAAAGGCGTGGCAGCCCCAGAGTGCCAGAGCAAAGAGCGAGGAAGAACCTGGGTCTCCTTCACAGACAGACCTCGTTCCAGCACTGCCTGTGTATGCAGCAACACCGGCCAGGCCTGTTCCTAGAAAAATGCTCCAAACTATTCTTCTCTCCCATTGCAGGGCATTCAAGAGATCCAGCACTACCAGCAGATTTTTTGGACGTGGCTGTCCCTTTTTTCCCCCTCTTCACAGCACCACGATGCTGCTGCTATTGACATGGTTGAAGAATTTGAAGTTAGCAGATTTGAAGGGTGGAATTTGAGAAGGGAGGTGGGGAGAGGGGAGATGGAAAGGAAAGCAGGGAAGTGGGGTAGGATGACATTCCCAGGCAGCTTTTTTCCACTGCTGCCCAACTCACTCTCCCCTCTACTCCCACTCCTGATAACCCCTGCTAAACCCTGCCAGCTCCCCTGCCAAGACCTGGGGCTCCCAGTCTGCCCAAATCACATGAGCTTGCAGATATGTCCACTTGTGACCTACTTTTCCTTTCATTTTCCAGCATTTCTGCTCCATGGTGGGATTCTCCACGTATCAACTAACCCCAACTAGAAATAAACAGAGGTGAAGCACTTCAAAAGCAGATAGAAATGTTTTGCCAGCAAGACAGGTAGTGTCCTTCAGATTTTGCTGAATATCTTGCTATATGGTCTTTTGCAACTCTACATTTGCTTTTTATATCTTAACAGGAATAACTTTATATAGAGAAAATTTTATACTTAAAAAGCAACCTCATGCTATCTTTTCCCTTACACAAGAAAAAAGATGAATGAATGAAGATACGAACACAACTTACAGTATGACGAAGTGCAAGCAGGTAACGCTCCAGCAGACCTTAAAGCCAAGCCCACAAGCTATGAAAACATGAACTTCCTGTGTTTCCAACCCTCCCCTCTCCGTTGCACCCTGGGAAGGCTGTCAGAGCCCAGCATGTGTCACTTCCCTGGCACAGTTTGTCCTTGGGCTGCCCAGTCACTCCCCATCAGGAGCTGAGGGCATCAGCCTTGTGCTTGCCAGGCTGGGTGAGGCTGCTCAACCCTTGCTCTGCATGGCAAAGGTGCCCCGAGTGCAGCAATGCCTTCGAAAGCGAGCCACAGCTGGCCTGTGAGAGCTCCCTGTGAACTGCACACTGCACATCTGGACCTTGCTGTCTCCCTCGAGCCTCTCTGTGGGACCACGGGTGTCTCTCTGCCCCAGACCCTTAAGGAAGTGGGGCTGAGTAACAATAACATTTCCTTCTGGTTGTTTCGACAGACGCATGCGCATCTGCCAACCATAGCCCGGGGCTTTGGCAGATACAGCTGCAAAATCAGTGTCACTGCGACCCAGCAGTGTTTATCCCTGCTTCTGGGCTCCTGTCATTGTTCTTTACCTAGAGCAAATTCCTCTCAGCCTTCCAATGGCTGGGGTATTCAGGACTTTCTCCTTTCTATAAGGAGCAGCTTCTGTCGAACATCGTTCTTGAAAAGCCAACAGCTGGTGTTGCCTTGCAAAGTGACTCCCCAAATCTCAGTGCAGGTACATCATTCACCCTGCTCTCCCCAGGGTTAGTGATGGCACAGGTGAGGGGTTTGCAGCAAGCAGAGCCACGCTGAGCCACACAAACCTGTGTGTGCCAAGCACAGAGCCCTGTGAGACAGGCTCACTCAGCCCTCGGAGTCTGCACCATCCCAGGTGTTCGTGTTCCTGCACCTTGAAGTCTGGTCCTCCTCTCTGCTCTTCCCCACACATATCAGACAAGGCTTAGGAGCTTTCCAGTCTGACCTCCAGCCTTCCAGAAGCTGACAGCATTTCCCAGCAGAGCTCTGAGGCATAAAGCTTAACAACACATCAAGAAGTCTTAATGATGCAAACTTGTTAAGCTGAAAGCATTTCTTTGACTTTTTTTAAATCTCAGATTGTATTCAGTTGAACCACCCAGAACATTTTTCTTTCCTGGTGATGCAGTCACACCAGATCAGCAGTGGCTGAAACATATAAATCTCTGAGTTTCTAGAAAGGGTACACTCTGAGTGCATTCCACAGACATAGCATTAAAATAAACAAACCAACCCGACAACAACAAAACCCCTAGAGCACACACATACAAAAACAAAACTAAAACAAAAAAAAACCAACACCACAAATGTGATTATGAACTCACTTTCTTTCACTTCTGACCATTCTTGAAGGTCTTAGAGCCACTGAGGCCTAAGTGTTTCAGTAGACATTAGATAGGAGCTTTAGGAAGAGCATTCTGGCTTGGTAGAAAATGTTTACATATCTTTGCTGTCTCTAAAAACAGACAGCTCTCCACAAACTAGAAACTTGAGTTCACTGTAAACTGATACCTTCTATTTTTACCCCTTTTAATTGCAATGTCATCCATGGAGCAGTTGAACCTCTCATTTCTCAACCATGGTACTATATCTGTCTGCATTTGCAGTAACTGGGAATGGAACAGGTCTTGGAGCAGACATCCTGTGTATAGCCCTACAAGGTTTTTTATTCCTGCACAGGCAGCAGAGGCACTCAAGTGTGGCTTCCCAGCATATGTCAAATGACTTATCCTTTATAAAGAAACCATGGTCCAGCAGGTAGCTTTACTTTAGTTCCTCCCAGGAATTTCAATCCTTGTTCGCTTTTCCTCTTCAGAGGAAATAGACAAAGAAGGGACTTTTCACCTTGTGTCTGTGGCTCTGTGACACGCAGCAGCTCTGTTGCAATTTCAGACTGCTCCAAGGTTTGGTGTGGGAGTCCTGAAGCTACAACGTGCCCACTGTGCTCACATGGGTATTGCAGGCTGGGACCAGGCTGGCAGTACATCATGCTTTTACCTTAAGGTGTGTAAAATCCCCCAAACCAAAGTGGGTGCACCCATGAAATGTAGGGGTGATTGAGCTCACCTGGTTCTGCAAGGTCTTCTGCAGGTTAGCCTCCCAGCCACCCATACTGGGTCCTGGTCCACCACTGAGGTGCTGTGGGAAGGTGTGCCAGGCATTTCAGCTTCAGCAAAACCTCCTGGTACCAGGAGGGATTG